TCTATCTATCTATCTATCTATCTATCTATCTATCTATCTATCTATCTATCTATCTATCTGTATATCTATCTACCTATCTACTTATCCATATATATCCATCTGACATATCTCTCTACCTCGTCTTCTTTCTCTACCAATTTATCTATCCATCTACCAATGATCGCTATCTATCACTACTTTTCGCAATCCAACCCTATATCTATTTGTCTACCCATCTTCGTATCTCCACATCTGTAAATATTCATATCGATTACAAGGTCTCTTTGCTTATCTATCGCTACTGCTATTACAAAATATCTTCAATCTTAAAACACCGTTTAGGACAGTATACACATTAATCACGCTCATTTATGGCTTTTACATCGTTTACATAAATTCCTAATTAACAACTCTCACTTTTTATCCAAGATCTAATTGAATTAAGGGCATCCGAGCCAACGGTGCGACATTGAAAACTTTTTCCGCCTCTTATTATATTTGTAACAGCTGCCCTCATTGCTGTTTGCTCTGGCTCTGGCTGTTGCCATTGTTGCTAGTCGATGGTGAAGTGGAGTTTATGTAAGCACCTGGTTTGATGATATTAATATATATATATATATAGGTATATAATATGAATCGGCTGCCTCTGATGGCGTTTGATAGGTCTTTTGTTTACACATTTATGTTGCCTCGTGAGTGAATCAAAATGTATATTAATTAATTTGGCAATAGATGGAATCTGATCGGACAGACTTGCACAACAAAACGAAACACCGTATGAGAAATGTTAATCTGTTGATTTGCATTGTTACATACCATATATATGTGTGTGTGTGTCAGCCCCACCTCGCCCATCGCCATGCCATTTCTCTTGGATCTAAAAAAGAAATAGCGGTTAATGAATATTGCCGCCCACTTGGCCAGCAGCAGCTGGATTACTAATCAGCAGCGAAAGCCAAACAATGGACAGGACCATGAACTAAAACAGACCAAGCAACAGAGGGAGAGAGACAGACAGACAGACAGACAGCTAGATAGATAGAGAGAGACTGAGAATATGCAAATACCGATACATAGAGAGCAGAAAGATACAGATAGAAAACTGCAGATACATATGCAAAATGTCAGATACAGACGCATGGAGAAACCATGCAGATACTTGGCAAGATACTTACAGATACAAATTGTTAAATAAACTGACATGGAAGGCGCATGTAGATGCCTGCCACATACATATATACAGACATACATATACATGAGCATGATGATACATATACTTTATATATATGTATATGATGTGAGATAGAAGTACATATGTAGAAATGAACATTTTGGCGGTTAGATGTAAATATATAGGTATATAACGATAGAGAATACACAATATAAGCTATAGATACATATGGGGGGGTACAAGCAGGCACTTAGGGAGATGCAAGATACAGATACATATGTATGTTTAAATGAAAACACAGAGATTTTTTATGCAGATACAATAAGAGCACCTGCAGATACTTAGAGAGATAGCGAAAGTAAGATGTAAGACGAAATACAGATACATTGAATTGCAGGTGCTGATTGTTATAGATACATTTGGTGAGCTGAAGATACAGATGTTGTATACCAAAATATGTTAACTAAGATGTAAATGCAAATATAGTGAGAAATAGATACAAGAAGAAAAGATACAGATACATTTTGATGGATAGGTATACTTAAAAACACCTACAATGAGCAAGGTACAGATGCAGATAGAGTATATGCGCAGGTACAGTTGCATATAGCGACCTATATACATATATTTATTGTAATTGCATAAGCAAATAATTAGCTCTAGATAGTTTAGGACAGATACAGATACTTTTATGGAGATATATTTACTTATTATAAGACTTATAATACCCATTGAATGAGCACACATAAATTTATTATAGTATTTATTTATTCAGTTACAGTTAATCAAATGAGAGAATCAAATCAGAGATACTTTTATGGAGATATAGCTACTCATTATACGACTTAAGTTACCCATTTAATGAGTACACATAAATTTATTATGGTATATATTCAATTACAGTTAATCAAATGAGAGATACTTTTATGGAGATATAGCTACTTATTATGCGGCTTATGTTACCCATTGAATGAATACACTTTAATTTATTATAGTATATATTCAGTTACATATAAAAATGAAGTGAGTTACACATATTCAAATTGTCCTACATAGATAAAAATTATCAGATACACAAGTAAACAATAAATAAACATCAAAATCAATTAAGATACAAATACATTTAGTCAATCACAGATACATTTATTGCACGCGAACAGTTGCAGATGTACAGAGAAACCCTAGAGATATAAATTCATGCAGTCTAATGAAGATAGAGATACATTTGATATAATTACAGTTAACATGTATATGTATATGCTGAGCAAATTCACAGATACATTTAGTAAGATACAGATACCGCAATAGTTACAGATATTTTGGCAAAAGTTTCAGATAAACACACACACACACATATAAAGTCTTATGCAGATACATTTAGTTTGATACGCTCAGCGAGATACATACACAGTTACAGTTACAGCTACAGCTACATATAGATGCTGACCAAAGATGGGATGCGGGCTCGGTGACCATGACCTCGTCTCTGATGTAAGAACGCGTAGAAATGAACGGCGAATCGAGACAATTTGCGTTACAATTTCGCCAACGCTGCAGCAGAGCGTGTTATGATGGTTGTTGTTGTTGTTGTTGTTGTTGCTGATGTTTTCGGTTTTGCTAGTGGCAGTGGCACTGGCAGTCGCTGTGTGGCAGCAACTGGCTGCAACCAGCAGCCAGTGGCAAGTCTTAACCCAATGGCAACCCAATTACGAAATCAGACAAGAGAAATTACTTAAGAAAAAACTGGCAATGCGAATTTGTTGTCATGCACCAAAATAATCCGCTTACGTATCTATGTATGTTTACATCGATATGCCTGTGTATATATGTATGCATGTGTGTGTAGACATTCTATGTAAAGCAAAATTACAGAAGCAGAAGAGACTTGTATTTAAATAGGATTTGCTCATGCTGTTCCAATTGTTACGCTTCGTGTGGCAAAAACTCTGTAAATTCGTTTAAATTGAATAAAGACTGAGTTGAGAAATGAATTATTCATAGAAAATATAATATATTCATATTTCTAAATACTTAAAAGTCTTTGATTCAAAGACTTTATAGAGAAACTCAACAACAATTACTAAATAGTCAGAGCCTATTTTACATAGTATATCAAAATATATTTGAGAGCTTCTATAACAGCTTCTATTTATAGGCTAGATTTAAAATGTAGCGCAAATTTGTATGTGAAAATATGCAAGATATACATAATTTCGGTACAAGGCGCAGGAAATTGATTAAAAATGTGTTTGATAATGTGCTAAAAATATTTAAGCATGACTAGAATATATATAAATATTGCATTTAATTTATTTTATGTCATTCAAATATACATTTGATATAAAAGTTGGATTTATAAATCTAATCATAAATCACGTTTCCATAAATTTATATAATATATACATTATTTATCATATTTATATAATATATACATACATGTATAAATTATATGCATACATACATATGTGTTTATTACACCCTATATACATTGTATATATCTACATGCATACATACATATGTACATACATACATATATAACATTCAATAATACGATAATATGCACACACATATTGACATACTCTTGTATAGCCCTCTATCTTAACATATCCAAATCTCGACACATTTCGTTAATAACAAGTCCAGCATATCATTAAATTTGCACATTGGCAATCAAATTATGAATTTAACATAATTTGCTAAATGATTTCGAGCACATTTAAATAGATCTATTGACACACTGGCATATATATATTTATTTGAAATGTCTGAAAGCAATTGTAATTGGCGGCAATTAAAATGAAATAATTTTGAAATGTTGCCAGGCTGATGACAGCTTAATCATTGCTTGAAGAGAGACATTTCATACATAAATGTTAATGGGTTAACAACGAGTTCGAACGAGGCGAAAAGACTCGAATTAAAAAATAAAAATAAAAACATAATGAAACAAAAATGCCGAAAAAAAAACCCCGTGAGCAAAAAGGGTTTGGCCAATCAAAGCAAAAGCAATTTCCAGTGCCAGCCAACGGGGCCGTTATGCAAGTAACGGTTGTTGCTGCTGCTGCTGCTGCTGCTTCTGTTGTTGTTGCCATCTCTGTTTATTGCCTAAGGCTCACGGGCAGCGGCGACAGCAACAACAATGTGACAAAAGGAATTGCCAATAGGAAGTTCATATCAGCAGGCAACATTACCATAAGCATAAACGTAAACACAATCAAAATAACAGTTAATGTCCAGCCAGCACTGGGCGCCAGCAGCAACAGCATCAACAGCAGCAGCAGCATGAGCAACGGCAACAACAATAAATAATGAAAATGTCGACAGGAGGGGTTCAAGCGCGGCGAGGGCAGCTGCACAACTTGCATATTAATTTGTTATTGTTATTGTTGTTGTTGGTGCTCCGTTCGATATACGATTTAAATAATTTGAAATTTTTTAACCAAACCAGATTTTCACTCTTAGTCAATGAAAGTGGAGCAATGGGCCCCGCGCCGGCCCTCTTCTGCGTGGTGCTGCAAGAGCGGAAGAGCTGCTTATGCTTTTCTTGTTTTGTTTCTTTTTCTTCGATCTTGATCTCGCGCACAAGTTTTGCAAAGGGCGCCTCGTCTCGTGTAAAAGGTCAACAACACTCAAAAAACGAAACGAAAACGAAAATGAAAACGAACGAAATGTAACGAAAGCACCTAACAGCAATACGCGACGGCCTTCAGTGAGCCGACTTCGTCTGCAGACTGCCTGACTACCTGCCTGCAGACGCACTCTCTGCTCTGCTTGCCCTCTGCCGCGCCCGCCCGCTCTCTCTATCTCTCTCTCCTCTCTCTCTCAGTGCTCTGTTGATAAGCTCTTGCACTTGCCACTGGCCAGCTTACATAACCCGAGCGCTGCTCAATTCGGCTGCTCCGTTAGTTCGGTTCGTGTATAAAACGCGCCGCTGCATCGTTAGCCGAATCATTTACAGTTTGTCGTTGTTCCAGCAGACGACACAAAGCAAAAACAAAGCCCATATCCTTTATCCAGTCAATCGAAGCGTTATGGCGGCGTATTTCATAGTGAGTGTTGTTGTTGTGCTGTTGCTGCTGTTGCAGCCCATCGCTGTGGTTGCTAACTAGTGCTATCTCTCTCTCGCTCTCCCTCCCCCCTCTCTCTATCTCTCACATGTGTAGCTGAGCGCTCTGCTGCTCGGCAGTCCCGCTGCATGGAGCAAGCCAACCTTTGGACGTGAGCACGTGCACATACGCATCCACCTGCCGGAAAGTGGCGGCGACGGTGGCCACGATCATGGCCATGGCGGAGGCGGCGGCGACTTTTCCGCTTATGAAATACACGATCAGGGTCATGGCGGCGGTGGATATGGCGGCGGTGGCGGCTTTGGCGGCGGCGGTGCTCCTCATGTGAGCACCTTTGCTGTCATCACTGAGAATCACGGCGCATCGCTAGGCGGCGGTCATTATGGTGGTTCCGGTGGCTACAGCGCCGGTGGACACGGTCACGGACACGACGACGGCAAACTGGCTGTGATCGCTGCTGCTGCAGGCGCTGCCGGCGGACATGGCGGTGGTGGTGGAGGCCATGGCTACAGCAGCGGCGGCGGCGGTGGCTCACATGACAGCGGCATCGCACACATCGCGGCCATTGCTGCCACCTCGGACTCCTCTTCACATGGCAGCGGCGGCTATAGTGGCTACAGTGGTGGACACGGCGCTGGTGGCTACAGCGGCGGCGGTGGTGGACATGGAGCGGCTCAAATCGCCGCCATTGCTGCCACCTCTGACTCCTCATCGCATGGCGGCAGCGGCTACGGCGGCTACAGCGGTGGTGGTGGTGGCGGTCACGATGATGCCCATTTGGCTGCCGTGGCAGCGGCGACTGCTGCGTCCTCGGGCTCCTCGCACGCATCTGGCGGTGGTGGAGGCTTCAGCAGCTATGCAGCGCCAGCCAGCAGCTACGGACCGCCAGCCAGCAGCTATGGAGCGCCAGCCAGCAGCTATGCAGCGCCAGCCAGCGGCTGGACAGGAACCGGCTCCAGCTACAGCGGCGGCAGCAGCTACAGCACCGGCAGCAGCTACAGTGGAGGCAGCAGCTACAGTGGCGGCCACGATGATAGCCACATTGTGGCAGCAGCAGTTGGCGGCTCAGGCGGCGGTGGTGGCAGCGGCTACAACTACTCCCCGCCCACTGGCGGCTGGTCCGGCGGCAACTCCGGCTGGGCCTAGGCCAACGGCCGGCGCTGACCAACCCTGGTCGTCTAGTCTATGTTCATGTTCATGGCCCCCGCGCCCCATTGGAGATAATAAGTTATGATTCACTCACTGATCAGCATACCCATACGCAGCATCCATTTCAGCATCTTGCAACATTTACTCTTCGTATTTATGTAACCGACCCCTTTCACTCGCCCCCATAAAAGGGGGATTAACCCAAATGTTATGTCCATGTACAAAATAAAGTATGTAGTGTAATAATTTAAGAGCAAAAACAAAACTTGACAAACTTGAGTCTATCCAAAAGTCAAAGCCACAAGAGATTATGTCAGTCGAGGTGAAAGTGTAAGAGACGAAGAAGAAGACGAAGAAGAAGTAGGTGGTATGGGAGATACGAGATGGAAGGTGGGAGATTGGAGATGCCCGTTTAGCGATGAGCTGAAGATCAAGTTGAAGACGTAAGACGCGATGATGCAATGCAAATTCAAGAGCAATCATAATTATTAGTGCTAATGCCAATGATAATTATGTTAATTATCATTATTATAGAGTTGATTTATGTAACAATCAAACGAAATTTGGAGTTTGTAGATGAAATGTGCATAATAATGTCAGGCAATGTTAGAAATTGGGATTTTTGATATTCATTTTAATTAGATAAATTATTATCTGAAATGACGAAAAAATTTGATCAGCAGGGGTTTGAAGAAATAATATACTATGTATAGATATACATAATGTCTACATACTATAATAGGTCCTATGTCATTCTAGGGTATTAGACAGATGTTCAAATTCGTTTTTCATATATATATTTATATATATATCATATATAAACCTATTAAGCTGTCAGCCCAGTATCCAATAACCATACGCATAAATAAAACTATCTATCGGCAAAGTATCTAAATTTATGATTTAAGCGTACTTGCTGCAAGACTTGGGAACTATACGAACCAAATTATTATTGTCTAATGGATTCTATAGAAATTATTAATAATTATAATAAAAATTATTTTTGTCTAATGAATTCTATAGAAATTATTAATAATTTTAATACAAATTCATCAATTTTTTCCCATATTTTTTTCCATTTACAAATTTATTTTCTATGTATATATATGACATTATTAATTTGTTGAAACTTAAAATTTATTTTCGTTGTGTATAAATTAAGAGAGATTTGATGCATGGATAAGTCGAAAATGTTTAAAAACGAAAACAATGACAAAATATTTTTGGACAAGAAAATTCCGAATTTGTATATGTTTGATTTTTTTTTTTTTTTTGCTTTGCTTTGTGGTTTTCCTTTGCGTTTTTTTGCTATCGAAAATTGTTGAGTTTCCCCTAAGCTCCATATTTGTAGTATTACTATCCTATTCACTTCATTTGATTTGAACTCACATAAGGTTCTTCCTATCAATTTCAATTTCAATTTCATTTTGATTTTGATTTTCGTTGATTGCTTGCGCTTTGGTTATCCGTTTACTTTGAATTTTACTTTTTCGCTTTGTTCTTTTCCTCATTTTGCTGACGTTCGTACTGCTTGTAGGGCACGGTGATTTTGTTGTTGAAGTAATCGTAAATGGTAAAATAGCAGGCGGACATGACGCCCGACTTGAAGAGAGTGGGCCACATGCCCTTGTAGAAGCCGCGCACGCCCTCCTTCTCCAGGGTGCTGCGTATGCATAGCATTATCGTGTCGCAGAGCGGATTGACGCCGAAGCTCTTGCGGTCCTCCTGGAAGTGGCTGAGCATGGTGCGCTTCTTGATCAGATCGGCCGGATAGACCAGCACCTTGGCGAGGACGCCGGAGATGGCGCCGTTCATGAAGAGCAGCGCTCCCGGTATTTCACGCCGGACATGCTTCTCCTCCCGTATAAGGCTGATGATCTTGAACGTAAAATGGTTTAAGAATTTGTAGATGACGAAATTGGCACCCACTAGCGGATAGATCTGCACCAGGGTCATCATCATGCCGCTGGAGACGCCTCGCAGTCCCTCACGCTTGAATACTTTGTGCACGCCGGAGAGCGGCTTCAGAGTGCCGGCAGTCGTGCCCGGATCGGCAGCAACCACACGTGTCCGCACCACATCGAACGGCTGGGCAACCACCGTGCCCACACAGCCGGCCAAGCCGCCACACATAAAATATGACAGATGGACATTGTCGCGGCCAAATTTATACTGCAACATGGCCGTGTGCAGCTGCTCGTACGACCAGAACTGGACCAGGGCGTAGGTGATGCTCATCATTTGCGCCGGCAAATGGCCCTTCCAGATGCCGCGCAGACCCTCCTCCCGGAAGATGGACGAGAAGGCTTGCAGCATGCCGGCATATTTGGAAACGTTAGAGCGTTTCTTTAGTGGCTCCACCTGCAATTGGAATCGAATCTTCAGCACGTCGAACGGGTGCGCTACGAATCGTGTCAATGCACCTGAAACGCCGCCTCCGAGGGCCTGCAGCATTTGTACTTTCGCTGAGTTCGAATTGCTTGCCTGCGAGGGTTGAATTTTAAGTTTATATTAAACTAGTTTAGTTTATTCTGTTTTACATAGTCTAGAAATGATCAAAACTTTTGCACCCTGTGCTCGATTCGATATAGAAATAGACCCAAGACTTAACTGAAACTGTGCTCTCTTGGAATTTACGGGCGGTATAGCTTTTATTATAATTTCCTCGTCTATATGAAACGACAGCCTGTGTATTGGGGTCGTACTTTTCAAGTTGCCTTCCACGATGGATGGCAGATTTATGCCCCAGAAAGAGAAAAACACTTTATTTTAACTAAGATTTATGTGACACACTGTGTGATGTGCTTAATCATTTACTAACTTTAAGTTCAACTCTCTCTCTCTCTCTCTCTCTCTCTCTTTCTCGCACTGGTTGCAGTTGCCAAACAGCAAGTCGTTGCCTACACGCAAAAGTCGCAGGTCAAGCACGAGAATCGGCACATTCAGCTGGTGCGCGAATATGGCTTCCATCCGCGGACGAAGGCCTCCGTGGAGGATGGCGATGTATTGCCACGAAAGTTTGAGCCGTTTCCGGAGGATATGTACGGCAAGCCGCTCGAGGAGATTGACACCTTTATATATGAGGAGGTAAGCAAAAGTTCCCATGGGCACACACACACGCACACGTATTCACAACACTCATCTGCATATTAGCGTGGCAAACGAAGCAAAGCGAGAACTAAAACGAAAGCGAAGCAACTACAACAAGAAAGGCAACAAAATTTATTAAAATGCTGCATTTGGCCCATTGCCATTTCCATAGCCTTTAATTAATAACTCGAACAAACAAACAAACTCAAACAAACACACACACACACACACAAGCACACGACATACATACGTACACAGGGCAAACCCAAACCGTTTCAATGCCCCTATTCACAGTGTGCAGCAAGTGGCACAAGCGGAAATGGAACGCGCTGTCGTCGCCATTGTTGTTGTTCAAAAGTGCAAAATGCAACGACTTAATGAAAATGAATGCACTTTTTGATGCCAAAATAGAAAAAAAGTAGCAACATAAAAGAATACTGAGGTTAATGTAAATGCAAAACGGCTAGAGCAGCCCTCGTGGGGCCGCCACTTGAATAAGCGCCACGGATATCAGCATAATGTGCCACAAAAAAGGGCAAATAAAGTGAGAGTAAATTTAGCAACAGCTAAAGTAAAGAAATACAAATACAAGTACACACACACACACACACACGCAAGCACATGTACATATACAAACAGGAAATGGGTCAGGCAGAGAGTTTGCCTTAAAAATGGCCGAGCAGCAATGTGAGTTTTTTTTTTACGTGACTGCTAACTTAAACAAACTGCCAACGGCCGACAGGTGGAGCCAGCAGCTATACAGCAGCCCAGCCAGGCAGGCAGCAGGCAAGCCAACGAGCCGGACAAATTATAGGTGAACATGCAAGTTTACTCAAGACTTGGCGGCATTCCATAAAAAAAAGCACACACACACACACGTAAACGTGTTCTGACCAAATAATTCCACTGGCCTGAGTTGGGCCGTAGCGTAAACATGCATTCAAATGGCCATCAGGGCTGGCGTAAGTGTAACGTAATGTTGCCAGACATTTGAGCGCAAGCACGCATGGCAACGCCAAGGCGTTTGTATGTGTGTGTGTGTGTGCCTGTGCGTCGGTGTACACTAAAAGGGGAAACGGAAAATCAAAGTGCTTAATGGCATTTAATGGCACACTAAGCTAGCCAAAAGCAAGAGCAAACATCTGCAGTGGCATGTGATAAGAGACCAGCAGCATGTTTGCCAAAATGTACACAATCTAAGAACATATTTCGCCCCTCCTCCTCCTCCCCTCTTACACTTTATCTGGTTACAAGTGCTAACACAACTTTTCATTTTGCGCACACGCTTTTTCTTAAGCTGACTCACACACACACTTGCATACAGCTGCCCAGAGCATGCAAATTTACAGAGTACGCATACAAACACACACCACAGCTAGCTGGGGGCCATAGAAAGAACAAACTGCCGCCCCCAATCGTAATTTCTGCTTGTTACATTAAAATTTCTGCTTACACGGCTCAACGGTAAACGACCTTGGGGGCCGGAGAGAGCATTTGATTATCCTCAGCACACTTAATTGAAGAAATCAGCGCTAATGAACCTGCCATTCCCGCCCCGAGCATAAGGCGGGCTAACAGGCAATGCCAATCAGAATGTTTTGCTAACAAATCAATAGACGCTTCCGCCGTCGGACGTTGCTGATGGACCTTGCCCAACTGATCATATGCTGGGTGTTCGCCATTTGTCTGCTACTCACCTTTTTTTCCCTTCTCATCTTTATTCAGCGTAGCGCCGTTGCCGTTGTCCTGTTAGCAAAAAAAAGTCCAAATAAGGTTTTAGTAAAATCCAACCAAAACGATGGATATTCCGGCAGTGTTTTTGTACTTATTCTAAATACAATAAAATTCGCATTGTGGGCGGACTCCAAAAACTTCTTGGCAGCCTTTCAGATGACACTCACGCTTCCACAGTTCAGTTCCAAGCATATACAAGCGAGAGTCGACCCACACATGTGTACAAATATTTGGTTATGTTGAAAAAGCACGTTCTAAATACTTTAAAACTGATACCGATTTCGACTAATATTAACACAAAATTTTCTGTTTTTAGTTTTTGTGGAACGTTTTTAAACCAGCAATTTATTTAAGTTTTCTCAAATGGAAATTTCAAAGTGAATTTTAGTAAGCACATTTATTTTTCTGGTTGTCGAAAACTAAATTTGCAAATTACTTCGGGCTTCATTTTGCCCAGTCGGTATTTTTCATTTTTGTACGTCAGAAGTTCCTGAAATGGAAGAGAAAAACAGAATATCAGTATCACATGAGAGCCAAGCAAATAAAACAGCAAATGGAGCGCTAGCGCTCCGCCGGCCGTCTACAAGCGGTACTCACCACGAAAATGGTCGATAGCGGAATGGCAGGTTTACTTAGACCTTGCACGCATCTTCCTGCGCTTACGCTTCAACCTACGCATACGCTTCTTACGCCACTGTAAATACACAAGAGTACACAATCAATATAGTAATTGCTTTTTAAATATTTAATACACAATTTTTTCCATCACTGGGAGAAAATTCGAGATTTTACCTTAGCTCTCATTTTCCTTCTGCTTACGAAGACGGCCTGAGAACGAAAGAACGACAGTCGAACGGAAATCTAGCTGGCAGCTTCGCGTGGCCCGACTTTGACAGTTCACAAGTTATCGATAGGTCACATGACATTTGCTTAACATGAAAAATTGCTGTTGCATAGCGAGCAATTCTGTTAATTGGGGAGCACTTCTGTTAACTGGTGCTGCCAACGATAAAATGTTAAAAGCAACCCTAATATGGCGCCAATATTAACTTTTTCTTTACAGACATTTTGTGTGGTGTCGAAGCGTTTCCGAAAGAATTATATACATCGTTTTACGGGCACCAAAAGCCTATTCCTCTTCCATCCATGGAGTCCATGGCGACGAGTCTGTGTCTATATAGCAACAAATCAATTCTTCGACTACTGTGTAATGGCAACTATACTGTTCAACTGTATATTCCTAGCCATGACAGAGACTGTGGAGGAAGCGGAGTAAGTAGTCAGCTTTCGTTGATGATTTGATGGTCCTACAATCGTTGATCGATACTACTTTTAAATTTGCAGATATATCTTCCTGGCCATTTACTCAATTGAAATGGTTATCAAAATCATTGCCAAAGGCTTTTTGCTCAACAAATACACCTATTTGCGTAATCCATGGAATTGGCTGGATTTTGTGGTCATCACTAGTGGCTACGCGACCATCGGCATGGAAGTGGGAAATCTGGCCGGGCTGCGAACATTTCGTGTGCTCCGCGCACTTAAAACGGTATCCATTATGCCGGGCCTGAAAACGATTATCAATGCACTGTTGCATTCGTTTCGCCAATTGGCAGAGGTCATGACCTTGACCATCTTTTGCTTGATGGTCTTTGCGTTGTTCGCCTTGCAGGTTTACATGGGCGAACTGCGCAACAAGTGCGTGCGAAATGTGCCCACAGATTGGACGAATATATCGCATCTGGATTGGAAAATGTAAGTGCAGAAATAGCCTTAAAACTGATACTATCACAAGTGTGAACATAAAGATTTTAGTTTTATTCAAATGCAGTTTTTGCATTTTGTAAGCTATTTTAATAACACGATTATAAATGCTATGCGATTTATGGTATTTATTAAGAGTTCATGTACATTTATTCATACAGTTAACCACATGTTAATCCTCTTTTCCAGCTGGGTAAATGACACGGACAATTGGCTTTACGATGAGGAAGAGATGCCGACGTTGTGTGGCAATCTGACAGGCGCTCGTCATTGTCCGGTGGGCTACATGTGCATCTGTGTTGGCGATAATCCCAATCATGGCTATACGAATTTCGACAACTTTATGTGGTCCATGCTGACAACGTTTCAATTGATTACGTTGGACTATTGGGAGAATGTATACAATATGGTAAATAAACTCCTAAATTCTTCAGATATTCGTCTTGTCTCACGTATTGCTCTCTTATAGGTTTTAGCTACGTGTGGTCCAATGAGCGTTACATTTTTTACAGTGGTTGTGTTTTTTGGCTCTTTCTATTTAATCAATTTGATGCTGGCTGTTGTGGCCTTGAGCTACGAGGAGGAGGCGGAAATTACAAATGAGGTAAGTTATCCATAAGCAAAGAAAGAGCTGTGCTAAATCCTATCTTACTCTTCCAGGAGCGCAAAAAGGATTTGCTGGATCATAGAGATGATTCCACCTTTAGCTTTGATCCTTCAGTGCTGAATGTTAAGAAGCTCAATAAAAACAATAAGAAGAAAATTGATTCACGCAAGGGCGTGCTGCTCGCCTCCTACAGCAAAAAGAAGACGCGGCGAAAAAAGGGAAAGGGAGGCAAAGACAATATCAGCATTGGCAATGGCAACGGCAATGGCAATGGCAATGGCAACGGCAATGATCATGGCAATGGTAATGGTAATGCCAACGGCAGCAATGGCAATGATCATGAGCGATCGAAAGTGCACTCGGCTACGCCTAGTCCAGGACTGAGTCCGCGGCACAGCACCACGGATCGTCCTTCGGCTTTGGCGCTGCAAGCACAGCAGCAATACCAGCAAATGGAGCAACAGCAGAAGCAGCAGCAGCAAAAGAAACAGCTTGTCCAAGGCGAAGCAGCTGCAACATCGCAGCAGCGAACACGCATCAGCTTTAGAGAGGGTAGCGTTAAGAATCCCAATATGCTATATCCCTCGGACTATAAGGGCCAGCTAATCACAAGCAGTCGCCAGACGAGCTCCAATTCAAGTGGAGGCGTCAATCGAGAATCCTCTCAAGATGATTCGGGCGTGGTTGACGATCACGACGAACAGGAAACGGCCAACGAAATGGGGCATGTCTCTACAGTGGAGCTGGCTCTATCGCCACGCGAGGTGCGCCTTATCAAGTGCAATGGCAATATAGCGCGCATTAAAAATCACAATGTATATGCGCTGCATCAGGAATTCTCCTCCGAAGTGGTCGTCATTGGTTAGACAACAACTAAATTTATCTAGTTTCAATATAAACACTAAAGCTTATGCTCTTTTCAGATGATCTGCCTGATCGCAATTGTGATCGCTGCGTGCACTGCTGCGCGGATTACGAGAGCTGGTTGCAATTCCAGAACTGCCTTTATAAGGTAGTGCGTGATCCGCTCTTCGAGCTGGCTATTACGCTGTGCATTGTGCTAAACACCGCATTTCTGGCCATGGAACATCATGGCATGAGCGAAAGCTTTCGCAATGCCTTAGATGTGGGCAACAAGGTGGATATAATTGAAACTAGCTAAATCTGAGAAATTGTCTTATTGAAATTACTTTTCAGGTGTTCACATCCATTTTCACCTTCGAGTGCATTGTGAAGCTGATGGCTCTATCCAAAGAGTTCTTTCTATGTGGTTGGAACATCTTTGATTTGATCATTGTCACTGCCAGCCTGCTTGATATCATTTTCGAGCTAGTTGATGGGCTGAGTGTGCTGCGCGGTCTGCGCTTGGTAAGAAAACTTTTAGCATAGACTGACAGAAGCTTATTAACTACTTTAAATTCTATTGCAGTTGCGTGTACTGAAACTGGCGCAGTCTTGGACGACGATGAAGGTGCTGTTGAGCATCATTATATCGACAATTGGTGCGCTCGGCAACCTCACGTTGATCCTTGTTATAGTCATCTATATATTCGCTGTGATTGGCATGCAATTGTTTTCCAAAGATTATACACCCGAAAAGTTTGATCCAGATCCGGTGCCCAGGCAAGTTTACTTCTATATCCACTCATATGGAAATGTATGTAATAAAGTTATTCTCTTATAGATGGAATTTCAATGATTTCTTCCACTCTTTCATGATGATCTTTCGCATTTTGTGCGGCGAATGGATTGAACCACTATGGGATTGTATGCGTGCCGAAGAGGAGGTTGGATTTATTTTCTAGTTATATATAACTATAGTTGTATACTTTATGCCATATTTTTGCCATTACAGCAAGGTGCTTCCACATGCTTTGCCATCTTCTTGCCCACGTTGGTGATGGGAAATTTTATGGTTTTAAATTTGTTCTTGGCTCTGTTGCTCAACAGCTTCAATTCCGAGGAGCTGAAATCGAAAAAAGAGGCAAGTCCAATGCGTTTTCCACTTGGAAAGAGAAATGCTTTTCATATCTATTGTTATGTGGAATGTCTAAATGTCTATCCGTTAACTGTGTATGTGTGTGTGTGCCACTTAAACAAAAAAAAGGAAAACCCTTAAGCTAAAAACCGAACCGAGTCTTGAGCACAAGCGGAAAGCTTGTCATTAAAATCCAAAAACTAAGACCAACTACTAATATAAAACCTATATATCTCTACATATATACTCTATATACATCTATATGGTGTTTGCCTTGCACTTTGTATGCGTGTCGTTTGAGTGTGATTCGTGTGTAACTAGATTAACTAGATTAAGTACCTAATACTACATTCCACACAAAATGCATTAATAATACATTTGATGCCCAATTGAATTATACACTGAAAAGAGAAAGAGAAGCACTTTTTAACCGAAAAAGGTGTAACATACACGGAAGTAAAATTATTTAAATTCTCATCTTCACTCAAACACCGAACCTATTGTTGAAATTGTTAATGTATTAATTTTTGTACTTAATCTAAATATTTTTTATTCAATTTCGGCTTTGTACGAAATTTCATAATTTCGTTGATGGTATATCATTTGAACGTATGTCTATTGCATTTCCTATGATCAAAACCCTGTCTAAGTCTCAGTGTCTTAAGTCTTAATATGCACTAAAACTTTAATTGTATTAACTAAAAAACTAAAACTCTGTTCGTCAACTTTTGCACAATGCGTTAAAAACTTTTTAATACTAAAACACAAACACACAAAACACACCTAAAAAATACAAAAATAATAACCCAATATTTAAAACCACACACAAAAAACCGTTAAACAGATTTTCAAGAAAAAGGTAATTTTTTCAAACTCAAACTTTAAAAAACCTACTTAAACCAATTGTTTGCTATTTTTATTTTATTTAAAATGCTAAAAGTGAACTAAAAAAAAAAACGCCTGTACATAAAACCAATTATTAATTGTATTTGTTAAAAAAATATGCAACTAATTTTCTTTTTGTGTTTCTAAATGTTTAGCTTTTTGGCTGTTAGATTGTAAATTGTTGCATTGGACTAACTAATTCTATATATATATATGTGTGTAAATTGAAAAACAAAACCAAAAATGATTATTAGTAGTGTAATCTTTAGTTGTGCATATCCCATCTGTAAAGCAATTAAATCTAATGCCAATTCTTTGCTTTGTATAGGAGGTGGGCGAGGAGTCAAAGCTGGCTCGCAGCATAGAACGCGTGCGTGATTTGATAAGAAAGAAGCGGCAGGAGCGCAAGGATCGTAAAGAGCGTAAATTTGCAGAAAAGTTTCAGCAAATCGTGCTCGAGGCACAGCAGCAGGCGCACTCCGGAACGGTGGCAGTGAGAGAGATTGATAAGCCAGGTCTGCTGGAGGAAACCAAATTTCATAGACTAAGCTATCAGGTGAGTTGAGCTGAAGTAGCCAAAGAGAAAAGTTTAGTTTATACAGTTATCTCGTTGCCCACAGGAATCTATGAATCGTCCCGTTTCCGGCTCCGATTTTGGCTTTCAAA